AATATGGGAAACCGGAGGAAAGGCAGTCCTTGTTGTGGGGGCAGAATCTTGGCTGGGTTGTGTCCTGCTGTTGGATGGGAGAAGAATTTGTAAGTGATGAACTTGGATATTTAGCTGAGGAGATTTCCAAGCAAAGTATGGAAGGTGCAGTTTGATTTCTCCTTGCTGCTTATAGTGAACTGTGAGAGAGGGACTGCTAAAAGAAACCAGAACTTGAAGATTTGGGAGGTTCTCGCCTCTCCAGATTGCAAAGGATAACGAATTAGGAGATTTGCTGTTGGGAAAGGCTGCTCTGGAGAGAAGTCCGCAGGATGACCTTTTGCTGAAGGGATTAGGTGTGTGATTCATGGAGCCAGTCAGAAGCCAAGAATAAAGATGGAGTTATCCAGGCAAGGTGTATGGAAGACCCTCTTGCCTAATGGCATTGATTCCTGCGACATTTGGGAAACCCGCAAGGTTTCTGGGAATTTTATACCAGCAGAAACACTGCCAGCATGGACTGAAAGGAACAGAGATGGATGAAATGAAGCAAGGCTGTTGGACTTGTGGGATTCTACAAACAGAAACAGGCTCAAAGAGCTTCTCAGCTGCAAACATGTGCTACCTTCAAGAGAGTGAAGATTGATCCTGAGGCCGGAGGCGTGGGCTAGAGGCAGCGGCCCACAGAGCCAAGAGCCACTGAAGATTGTCTCCAGGGCTTGAAACCAAGTGGAATTTGCCCTGTTGGGTTTCAAACTTGGGTGACCGGTGACCCCTTCGTTATTTCTCACTTTTCGAATGGGGACGTCTATCCTCTTCCTGTTCTACCACTGCGTTTTCTAAGATAATTATTTGAGGTAATTTGTTTTCTAGGTTTGTAGTTTATACATGAGGACTTTTGTCCCAGGACGGAGCACACCCAGAGTCTCACCCATACCTAATTTAAGGGATTTAGATGATTTTAGATTATGAAATTTGGGACTTCTTGAATTAATGGTATTTGGGTGAGACTTTGGGGGATGTTAGTGTGAGCTGAATGTATTCTGGACATAAGGTGGACATGAGTGTTTCAGGGTGTACTGCAGTGGGTTGAATGCTGGCCCCCCAAAAGATATGTCCATCCCCTGGAATCTATGAATGTGACCGTATTTGAAAAAAGTGTCCTTGCAGATGTAGATAAGTTAAGGATCTTGAGATGAGATCATCTTGGATTATGTGGGTGAGCCCTAGATCTAATGACAACTGTCCTTAGACAGAAGAGGAGACACGAGGACCCAGAAGAGAACTCCATGGGAAGGCAGAGGTAAAGATGGGAGCAATGTAGCCACAAGCCAAGGAACGCTGGAGCCACCAGAATCTGGAAGAGGCAGGAAAGATTCTCCCTGAGGGCATTCGGAGGGAGCGCAGCCCTGCCACACTTTGATTTTGGGTTTATGGCCTCCAGAACCAAGAGAATAAATTTCTATTGTTTTATGCCACTGAGTTTGCATTCATTTGTTATGGCAGCCACAGGAAACTAATGCAGAGGTGAACTGTAAGACCCTGGGCCAGTGACGAGACATGCCTGTTGGGACAAAGCATCCTCAGCCTCCAGGCGGGGCTCCTGGGGAGGGATTGCAAGGCTGAGGTGCCCACAGAGGCCGTACTCCACACGTGTCCCTGGACAGAACGAGGTGTATGTTACTCCTGAGGGTGTAATGGAGAGTCAGGGTGGTTGGGGTTTGGTCCTCAAGGACCCCAGCCCCACACAAGTAGTCTGGCCATACCTTCTTGCCTCTGCTGTCACATTTTGCCCTGCCAGTGTCACAGTGATGTGGTTCCTGTAATGTAAAGTATTTGGAAGTGCACCAAAGAGCTTACTTAGTGATACAACAGACTGACCTGAGACCCATGGCATCCAAAGCAGGGCACCTGTGGTCTTCCCGTGGATTAGCCGAGTAAAAGTCCACGCCACCAGTCTTTTATTCAGTTTATAATGAATATTTATCGGTAGAGATAGTCAACCCCAAATGAAATGGATAATGTCCAAAATAGCCTTGGATGCAGAACAGACCTGGGAAAACCGGCTTGCTGACTGTGGCAAATGGTTGGCCAATTCAACCCCTCACTGGAAAATTATATGGAAAAGAATAATTCCATTATGTTATAGGTGGGAAAAAAAAAGTCAAAGCAGCTGTCTGTCCCAAAAATTGATTATAAAATTAAACTGCCCTTCCAGGGCTTTCTTCAGCATACACTTCCTTTTTGAAACTTTATTAATGTGATTCTGATTAAGACAAGTGTCTTGTAGTGCGAGCGGCAGCATCTTGCAGTCAAGGTCAGAGCATCCTGAGGCCCCTTCTGGAATTCCTTCTGCCCTTGAGGACCTGCTTCCTGGTGCCCTGTGGTTCCCTTCCCTCAGAAGGGGCAGGGGGCTCTCTGGGGTGGGCGGGCTACTTCTGCATCTGTCCAGCCTTCTCTGAGCCCTCTCATGTGCAGCCCCTGACCCATGGGAGTGTGGGGATGAGCATCAGGCTGGAGGGGGGCTGGGTGGGCCAGGGGACCCTTGGTGGGTGCGGAGGGAGGTCCCTTTCCTGGGTCTGCATGAGTGGCTGGCTGCTAACTCTCTTGTCGCTTCTGTTTGAAGGAAGGAGCCTCAGCCGGAGCCGTCTCCAAGGTTAGTGCCTTCCGCCTCCAGCTGCCCTTGGCGTGTCTGCTGTGTGCACACCCCGTCTGGTCCTGCTTCCCCTTGTCTGTGCACAGCGTGTTGTGGGGGAAGGACGGGGACTGCCATGTGGGCCCTGTGTGTGCTTCCATGTGCGTGTGATGGCGTGTGCTACCACTGCCCAGTGGTGGCGTGAGCCCTCAGATCACTTTTCCTAGCTCACCACCCCTCCTCCCAGTGCTTTTCAGTTACTTTGCAGCAACGTGGGTCCTGACAGCTGGGGGACTTCTCTGGTGGGCCCCCCTCCCTGCCCATAAGTCCAGCCCCTAGGGAACCCTGAGGCAGGGGGTTCTATCGGAGCACTCCCTGTAGTTCCAGACACTCAGCCCAAGTTTGCAGCTGGGCTGAGCCAAGGCCATCCAGGTGGAAACTCCCAGTGGGGTCTCCCGCCCTTCCTGCCTCTCTGGGTCAGGGGCAGGAGGCAGAGCCCCAGGGGAGATGGTGGGAGGATGGCCCCTGCCCCACACACTTGGCAGAGGGTCTTGGATTGCTGATGACCCCCTGACACTCCCCGAGGATCGGGATGTCCTCTCTCCACCTCATAACCGCCTTGGTGGAGATTCTAGCCTCCAGCTGTCCAGGCACTCAGTTTGATTCCCTCTCCCTGGTCCCCACGCTGGTCTCCGAGGTTCTGTTTGTGTCAGGCAAGTTAGAGATGCGGGATTTGCACGGGACTCCGGTGGGCCCATCTCCACTCGGGGCAGAAGAGGGTAGGAACAGTCTGCTGTTTTCCTAGTGCTAAAAAGAAAGTCAAGATTGTTTCATGAATTTCAAGTCTGACGAACTCCAGCCCACCTGGGCATCCCTTGCTGAGCTGCCGAGCCTCTCTGATCTGGGTGTGCTCCCCCCACCCCTCCACACGTTGCAGCCCCCAGACCCTGGGCTGAGA